GGATCCTATCACATCCAGTGCTGAAATGATCTGACTTTCTTTAGATCTGTTGCTGTGACCATCTGTCTCAGTTCTGGTTTCTATTGCTGTGAAGAGACACCATGACTATGACAACTCTTATAAAGAAGACATTTAATTGAGGGGGCTCACTTACATTTTCAGAGGTTCATTATCATCATGGCGGGGAGCATAGCAGAATGCAGGCAGGTGTTGTACTAGATCTGAGAGTGCCACATCTTGTCATTAACGAGAAATCAGCTGACACACTGGGCAGTAACCTGAGCATAGGAATCCTCAAAAGCTGTCCCCACAGTGACACGCTTTCTCCAACAAGGCCATACCCACTTCAACAAAGCCACGCCTCTTAATAGTGCCACTCCCTATGAGATTATGGGGGCCAGTTACATTCAAACTACCACACTGCTCTTCATGGGCACTTTCTGTTGCTCTAGAAATGTTCTTTAGTTGCTCCAATTTTAAACAACTCTTCACATAAGCCTGTCTCTATTTCTTCTTCACCTGCTGCATAGGCTATTGGGTCTGTTGACTTTTTGCCTCTCAAGTGAAACAATCTCCTAGATACCCACAGCCTCTTCTCTGTGTCCTCCTGCTTCCTGGAACCCCTGGGACTGCACTCTCCAAGGTCACCAGCTGTTTTCCAGCAGATGGGCCTTAGAACCACCTGACTATTGGAGCAGCTGACTGTCCTCATCCTCACATGGACACCCTTCTATTCCTGGTTGGTTCTGAGCATAGTGATCCATGCTGTTGGTCTCCCTGGTATTTCCTTAGATGCTTCTTCCTCTGATAAACCCTTAATAAACAGTGCTCTCCCTCCCCTCTTACACTAGGCTTTCTTACTTGGGGTATTCACTTCCTTTCAGAAAGCTTCCCTTTGCTTCTTTGTGCTGCTCGGCCCTCAGATGTGTCTGCATTGCCTATCATTCCTCTATGACATCCACATGACTGGCAGGCTGCAAGGCACTTTTACATCCTTCCTCTTGCACTACATACTCAGCTACCCACCCTCTCTGCAGAACCTCCCATTCCTACCATTGCACACCCAGCACCCACTGTCTCCACAGAGCCGGCCCGTTCCTACCATTGCACACCCAGCACCCACCATCTCTGCAGAGGCTGCCTGTTTCTACCATTGCACACCCAGCTACCTACCCTCTTTGCAAAGCCTGCCCATTTCTACCATGTCTGGGTAAACTGTCTCTGGTTCCCTGAGTTCTTTGGCTTTGCTTCCTTCCCGTGGAACACTGTTGCCACTCTGTTTGGTGGTATGAACCTGGGAGAGCTGAACCTGAAAATGAGGTGGGCTGAAGTCTCATGCAATAGCCAACTTTATTCAGAGCATTGGATAATTTTTATTCTGAGGATATCCTAAGGGTTGGGAAAAGTCATATGAACAAAGTTCACTTGAGTTCAAATTGTATACAATGACAAGGGCAAGGTCACATGAGTTTAGGCCGTGTGTAGTTACGAGAACTACTTGTGCTTTGGAGCATATCCTGAATAATAACAGGTGAGACAGTGGTAAGCTGAAGTAAACACCCATGCCTGGTATCATACCTGGGAGGGACACAAAGGCATATTTCAAGAACAAATTCATGTTATGGAGGAACAGGTTATAAAACTCTTACCTTTCTCACAAGCTCTCCAAAATCTCCTCACATAATCCCTCTGGATGAGAATGAGACCACTACCACAACTTTAAAGCCAAATTTGAAGCAGGCTTTATTAACTACTGGCCCGGAAGATTCGCACTGACCAGATCCATGTCCAGGGTTCCCAAAGAATAGCCTTGAATTATGTTCGGTACCTACAAGGCATTGTGTTTCCTGCCTTCATCCAATGTAGCCAAGCATACATCCTGACTTATTTCCTGCCTACATACCTCCCACCTATGTGTGGTCAAGCACATCCTGTGCCGTTGGGGCAACCAACCTTGCTTACAGACGTGGCTGGTTACCCTACTGCTTACAGCTGTGGCTGGTCACCCTGCTTGGACCACAGCCCCCAGCATTCCAGGGAGTTATCCGTCCTTGGGCAAGTGGGGCTTCCGGGTTAGAGACACTTTTGATTTATAGATCTCTGAAACACAGTAATTAAAACTTAGTAAAACTGCTGCCCTCACAACCCCGTCGCTTCTCCCCCTGATTTGCCCCTTCAGGCCCCAGCCTCCACCGTTACTGTCCCCCGTCATCCGTGTTCTCCCTGCTCCCCGCAGCTCACTGATTCCATTTTTTGCTGAGGTTGTCTTGCTGCTCTTGGCCTTTGACCGAGGGGATGGCCCACTGTAGGTGCCTGGTAAATGCTTGTAGAGGAGAAGCCTGTGTGACCACGGTGCACAACCTCTTGCTATGCCCAAATCTGCTAAGTTCCCGCAAAAGCCAACAAGGAGACCAAGTCCCGTATGTAAAAGCAAAGAGCCTTTATTTTAATCGAGTTTGCAAACTCGGTCTCTCCGCATGTCCAATGTATTGGAATAACTGGAGAGCCCTGAGCTCAATTAGAATTGGATTTTTATAGTTAGTAAAGGTGGGGTTGAGGGGTTTCTTAGGTTCAGGACCCCTGATTGGCTGACATTTGTTTAGGGGTGTCCTGGTGAGTGCGTGCTGGTAAGTGGTCCTATCTACAGCAGTTGGAATGTTAGACTTTTCCTTTGAATGGTCTGTTCTTGGGCCAGTGGTTGGGTAATCTCAGCTTGCGATTCCTCCCTCAGGGTAAACTCCTGCCTCAGGGTAAACTACTGAGACTCAGGCCTCTTATTAAATTATCGATGGCCAAGTTCTACTCTGGCAGGTGATAATAGTTGGAAGTAAAGAACTTTCTTTGGCTGACTTGCCCATACTTAGTTTATTATGACTGCCCCCCCCAATCTCAGTCACCAAACACTTAGTGACAGTCACACCTTGGTGCATGATACTTCTTAGAGAGCTGTGGGCAATGAGGGCAGAATAACTCATCCTGGCACAGGGCTGATCTAGGTATTGGCAGATTTATTCTTCCTAGTCATGTTTTCCTTTGTGATCATTTTTCTCTCAACAGGAAATAGAAAATTAAAAAAAAACAACCTTAGGGCAGTTAACCTCAAATAAATTAATGTGTGCCAGCATGGACTCATGTTATCTTTATCTGAGTTATTCTTTACCAATTAAGACCCAGGAGTCAGATACTGGGGTGAAAACCTGCTAGATCAGAGAAGCCGAGAATCAACCATCTGACCTTCCTTTTTGGCCAGAGACCCCGACACCCCCCTCTCACCTACCCCCGACCCCCCCCCTGCAAGAGATATCTTCCTCCTCTGAGTCCCTCCTACTCCCCCCTGTGCATCTCTCTATCTGTATTCTTGGGTCTTCCACATTCTCTATGCTAATTCTTGTCAGCTAGTCACTGACTCCACCCCCTAATTCAAGGCTAATTTTATTAACACAGTCCCAGAGTGTCACAGTATGATCAAACATCCCACAACAGAATCAGTAACAGAGACTTGAGGCCAGCATGTGCGTGGTATGCTAATAGCGCAGATAGCCCTTTGTAGGAGAGTTCCTTTCAGGCCTGACAGTCACGATGATTTTAAGAGAGCAGGCAGTGTTTGGAGTAAATAAGTCTCTCGGAAGCCAACATTTTTACATGTTGCATTGATTTCACTCCTTCCTCTGAGAACTGGTTCATATTAGGTCATAATTTAAGTGAATTGCTCAGAGGAAATAATAAAGATACGCTAAATAAAAGCTCTAACTCACAGCAATTCATTTATTTGCTGAGGGTTGTGTGACTCATGTATTATTTGGGAAAACAAATGGATCAACAGAAGTAATTTGCCTCTTTAACACCTAAGAAGACAAGTGCCTCTGGGGTGGGGTGTGTGTATGTGTGTGTGTGTGTGTGTGTGTGTGTGTGTGTGTGTGTGTTTGTATGTGTGTGTGAGTGTGTATGTGTGAGTGTATGTGTATGAGTGTGTGAGTGTGTGTGTGTGAGTGTGTGTGTGTGTGTGTGTGTGTGTGTGTGTGTGTGAGAGAGAGAGAGAGAGAGAGAGAGAGAGAGAGAGAGAGAGAGCTATTGCTTTAGCTCATTTTCCCAGCCTCTGTTTCCTCAATGGTAAAACACTACACAGGGAATTTTTACATAAGGTGATGTATGACTACTTCAAACCGGTTGCATTTGTACTAGAACGTACTGGGTTGAGCCTTGGCTTGGCTTTTCTGCATTAAAAACCAGCTCTATGGCTAAGTGACAGGCAGAGCAAGTCTTGTACCCACTAAGTCTGTCCACTCCAGGTCGTCAGGAAGGGCTGACTGGTCAGCTGTCCTGCCGTATCGCAGGAAGGACCGACTTGACCCCCTCCCTCTCTTAATGTGAATAATTTAGCTTGCTAATACATAGTCCACCCTGCTTTTTATTTCTTTTGAATTTTAGAAATATTGGCTCTCACTTCACGGATGCTAATTTTTGTGTCTGAACTGTTTTAAGTTCTCAAGGCCTTGAGCACTGTCTCCAGCCAGTGGAAGGAAAGTGAGGGAGTGGGAAAGAGGGTCAGACCAAGCTTTCTTTTTATGGAGAGACATGTGACTTCCATCCTTTCTTGGCTGGAGCAGTCTTACTAGGTTCTGATCCAAAGATATCTGAAAAGATCCCTCCCTGAGGGGACTCCAGATCAGTTGGTAGCTATGTGACCTCAGCAGAAGTTCCCACCCAGAGCAAGAAGATTCCTTGGCAGAAGAGTGTAATCAGCCTCTCGGGGACTAAAACGTGTTTAGTCTTCTAGATTGACATTGTATTTACTCTTGCAGTGTTGGGGTCTACTTACTGCACCTCTGAGTTCAAAGGTGTTGCTTTCTGCTATATTTATTTAGACGCCTTCAGCTGCAAAAGCCCTTGGTCCTTAGATACAACACAGACATTCCATTGCGAGGAAGAGTTCAGAGTTCATTTGGGCTGTGACGAGCTTGAAGTGCCCGAAGTCCAAGTTTAACCCTTTGATTTTCCAGGCTGTACCCACGCCACGCAAGTGCGCTGAACAACCTTGGGACACTGACAAAGGACACGGCCGAAGCGAAGCTGTACTACCAGAGGGCGCTGCAGCTGCACCCACAGCACAACCGCGCCCTTTTCAACCTGGGCAATCTCCTGAAGTAAGTGGTCGGCTTCTGCTGGCTCGGCGGCCCGGAGAACTCCTTGTTCCGTTGTGCTCCTGATGCCTGCTCCTCGCCATAAATAGGTTTCACACCTTTGTCACAGTTAATTCTGTTTCTTATTAGTTAGAAGCGGTATTTCTCAGGGTCTCTCTGGCATCGATCCAGAGATTGTCAGTCACAGGGAACTGGAAGGTTACATAGCCAAGAAAACTTAGCAGGTGCTGTGCTCCAAAGGCTTTTCCTGTGCTTCTGATCTCTTGTGAGTCTTTATGAAGGACTCCACGGGGTACAGCCATGCCAAGACTAACGTTCCATAATATACTTCCAAGAAAGCAGTGTTCTCTGAGGGTAAAGCAAAGGGCCTCCTGGCCAGGATTCATGCTCAGCTTGGATTAAGGTTTAAAAAAAAAAACCCAAACAAACAAGCAAACAAATAACAAAAACAACAAAAGCCAGGCTTGTTTGGAGTTAGAATAATTCTCAGGAAGGACAAGAAAAATGGCTCAGTGGTTAAGAGCAAGTAATGCTCTCACCGAGGACTGAAGTTCAGATCCCTGCACCCACTTTGGGCAGCTCGTAGCTGCCAGTAACCCCAGGTCCAGAGAATCTGATGCCCTCTCCTGGATTCCACAGGTACCCACACATGTGAAAATACTCATACAGATATGTGCACGTAAATAAAAATAAATCTTAAAAAACGAAAATTTAAAGGCATGAGAAGGGTGAATTCGAGTTGCCGCGACAGCTGGCTAGCTGCAGCCCGCTCTCCACGCCACCTCTGTGGACACTGTGTCTTCGCGAGAAGTTGTGAGGACTCAGGTTTGAACGTCACTGGAGTGGCTCTGTGTGCTTTGTTTATGGCTCAGATGAGGGGGTAGGGAATCCCACAGATATCTCCTTAGATAGATGGCTTCTCTAGCGCTAGGTTCAGAGATCTTGTCAATGAGTTGGGTTTTGTTTTTTCCTAAGAGGCCGAGCTGAGTTGCCGGCTGCAGAGTGAAACAGTTTGTCAGGAATGCTGTCTCTAGTTCTTTTCTCAGACAGTACAGCACAGCTCTATGACAAGGATTCTGTCCTGTTTCCTCCTCCTGCGGACCAAGCTGAGGATGTTAATCCCAGTCCTTCTTCCATCCAGTCTGTCTGATTATATCTGAGTTAACACTACAGGAAAGAACGCTTTAGAACGTGGTAATGGCTGCTTTCCAGTGAGAGGGGCTACTGACTTAGGGCTTTACATCTGTATAAGACTGGAGGTTTCTGGGGGCCTTTCCTGTCCCGTGGGGCTCTTCCAGTGAGACTTCAATGTGAGTGGGGAAGAGGAAATGGGATTCTACGTACCTTGCACGGAGAAGCAGCCGTGTCTCCGTGTGAGTCTCAGAATCCGGTGGGTGAAATCATGTTAATAGCTAACATTTGTGTAGTACTTTCTGACTGACAAGTTATAAATATACAGTATACTTGTAATGTATGTGTGCGTGCATATAGCTGTTCTCTGTAATTCTTAAAGCGACCTGTGCTGAGAGGTGTCGCCATCTTCATCCCCTCTCGCGGGTAAGGAACCCAAGGCTCCTCCAAGAGCTATGTGACCCTGACCTAGGCTTGTGGCTGACCCAGGACTGAAGTCTGCCTTTTATTTATTCTAAATAGTACCCCAGCCCCAGATTAATAATATCAAGCTGTGGAAGAGCTTGCCGTGGCTTGTGGAGCCTTCCTAATCGGCCTTCTGCAGCAAGCAGCTCTGTTTGTTTTCATTACACAGAGGTTGCGTGCTAAGTGGCAGAGGAAGGGGAAGCAGAAAGCCACAGGGCTACTCTGCGTTTAGACGGCTGGGAGCTAACCTCTGCTTCCCCATAGACTTCTGGGCCAGCAGTAATGAGCAGAAATCAAGAAAAGAGTAAGAATATTGCAAACATGGGTGAAGTGCCTGGATCTACTGTTTCTTCATCCATACCCTAGTTCTCCCTTGAGTCAGGTTTTGAGTTATTGCAGTTGGCTTTCTAAAGCCATGCCTCTTTCTGTCGTGTAGAACTCAGTGCTCACTCTTTGCGTATGAGCAGCTCAGGTCTGACCATTCCTAAGAGGCAGCCGCCACTCACCACTTGGAGTTAATAAACAAGCGCACTAAAGTTTGCACCAGAGAAACCTCTGTACTTTTAACTCAGCCCTGATCACTGCCTCCCAGTGGCCCACGTGGGAAGTGCCAGCCAGCTGTGAAATGGCCACCAGCTGCTGTGTGAAAGCTGCCTATGCAAATCAGGAAGTCATATTTTAACACATAAAAATGAACTTTAATCATATATTTAATTAAATCCTAATACGTCTAAATTATTATTATAGTACATGATTAATATTTTACAATGGTTTAAATTTTTAGCACAAAGTATTGAAGATATGAATGAGATGACTTGCGTTCTTACACTTAATCTGTGAAATCTAATACATATTTGACACTCACAGCTCATCTCTGAGCAGCTATACTTCAAATATGCAATAACCACACATAGAGATGATTTCTCTCTTGGCCCCCACTGCCTTTTCTAATAACCTTGACTTTGAAGGAAATTCAGGTCCTTTGTCCGGGCCTAGAAGTCTAAAAATGAGAAGTTTCTCTGTCAGAGAATGCTATCCAGCTCACTGATATCAACTCAAGTTGCTCAGATTCTTGGAATTCTATGGCCCCTGCTTCAGCAGTAGCGTCTAAGGGTTCCCACCTGTCTGCGGTCTCATTGGAGCCGTTTCCCGAGCCGTTTGAAGTCTCCATTGTGAGTCTGCACAACACATTTTGGTGGGAAGACTGAGAAGCGATCTTAGCGATCAATGACAGCTTTTCTTGGGACTTCAAATATCAAAAAGGGAAAATGAAAACAGACAAGAAAGAAGCAAGGAACGCTTGTGATTTTTATGGGCAAAGGTTGCAGAAGCCCCCAGTTGTCAAGAGGGCACAAGGGTGTTTAAAATCAGGGTATGGGGAACATTTATGTGAATGCACGATTACAGCAGATGGTGGTGTTTGTCACTAAAATGAAAAATGAAGACATGTAAGGGCTCACGTCGTGCCCCTGCCCATCGCGACAACTTCCATCCCGTTAGAGGATACGGTGTCCAAACTGTTTCTGTGACTGATGGTGAAAACAATGGCAGAGCGTACTAGAATGCCCAGCAACGGGCCTTGTGATAAACCGAGCAGTGGTGTGTTTTATCTTCTTTAACCAGCTCCTTCAAAATGAAGACCTGCTAAAGGCCGTGAAGAAGTAGACACATTATTTTATTATTATTTATTATTTTACAGTGTTTTGGGGCACCCTTCCTCATGCATCCTCATTGGCCACACAGTGTTTGCACGGAAGGACATCTGTACCCACGAGATGGTAGATCTACTTCTCAGCTTGGTTTTCTTTGGGGATGGAGTTTCACTCTGTAGCTCAGGGCCTTGAACTCATGGCAGTCCTCCTGCCTCAGCCTCCTGGGTGCTGGGATTTCAGCCATAAACCTTCACCTTTTCAGCACAAAGCTCCAGTTTAGGCGGTAAAGGTGCATTTTCCCTGGCTGTTGCCACATCGGGAGCATGCCAGCCATGAACAGACATGTTCTGGCTCTAACTCTCAGCCAGAAACCTTCCACACACCGCCATCATTGCCTGTCTGTAGTTCGGTGACTCCTGGGTTTATTTATCTCTATGTAGCCTTGATCCGTTGTGTCTTTCCCTACCTCATCTCAGCCTAACTCATGCCGGCCTTTCTGCAGTAATTCTCCTGCTTCCAACCCAGCTCTGCATCCTGTGATGCCATTCGCATCTTCAACTACTCTCGTCCAACATCCCCGTCTCCAGCACCGGGCAGTACTTTTCCCGCTCCAAACCTCTGCTGCCCTCCTTAGCGAATGTCAGTAACCACCAGCTTCCTCGATTTCGTTCATCCATCTCCGCTGCGCTTGGGTGCTTCCCACCACGGCTGCTGGAACACTGACTTCCTAGGCGTGCAAACGTCTTCTTTCTCTAGTTCCTGGATTCTGACCTCCGACCTTTGATCTCTTACCGTGGCTCGCTCACGCTATCTTTCTCACGTGGCTTTCTCCCGCTGTCTTCCCTCATCCTGACCTTCATGAGTCTCCATCTTGGAGCCCTTCTCCGTGTCGGGTACCTTCCAGGCCTTTCTGTTACCAGACCTTCTGCAATGAGCACAGGTCTCCGCTTCTCCCACCTTACCGCTAGCCTGCTCACGCCTTGGTCAGATCCCCTCTGTTCAGTCCGTCATATGACATTGTTTTGCTCCTGTATCCAATATCTGGTCTCCTTCATCCTCTCTCGTGTGCACTTTGCGTTGGCACAGAGTCCAAATGTCTCAGCATCCAGGATTTCCTGTCCCTCACACTCATTTCCACTCTCCTGTCCTCGGTAAACCCAGCTAATACTGACCAGTGGTCAGTATGCGAAAGACACCTGCCGGACTACATTGACTGAGACCCTCAGCAAGGCTTAAAGTTAAATCTATTGGAGGATTGGTCACTCCCCTGGGGTTGAAGGCTGCTTGGCCTGATGTGACCTGGCAACGTCCCTGCCTTTCCTGCCTCCAGAGAAGGAGCTGCCAGAACAGCCCGCAGCCTTGTCTAGCCCAGTGCACCTGTAACTGCCTGTCAGTCTCCGCTAGCAACAGGGACTGCTGGGCTTGCGGGGACACGGTGGCGGCAGATATGGGGGGGAGTGTGATGCACCTACGGGGGTGGGCACAAAACTATTCTAGCTCAGTAAAAATGTCCAGTTTCCCCTATTCTCACAGTCAGTGTCTGTCCAACAGATTTCTCTGGGAAATGAGAACATGTGCTGCTATCCCATAACTGAGAACGATCGGATCATTACAGTACTTCTGCGAGCATTTCCCCCACAACTGTACTCACACCATGATGCCAGGGTCTTAGAGCCTTCATGGAGTTCTCTGACTGTGATAAACACGGTCCAGGCCAGGGCAGAGTTCCACAGGAGGCAGTCTCTGTTTCCATTC